CTGCCCAGGGTGGGTGGCGGAGGACATTAGGGCTCTGCAGCACTGAGCTAAGGCTGGCGCTGTGCTGGGGCAGTTCCCACCGACAGGGACCCTGCACTCCCCCGACTGCAACAGAGAGGGCCCGTGGCCTCTGAAGGTGCTGCCCGCCTTGCCCATAGGTCATGAGAAAGTGAAGCTCTATGTCTGCTAACCTTATACATCCCAGTCTTCACGGAAACATAATCAGCCATAATAATTAAACACTCTTTATAATTTTAGGGGAAGTTGGAACTTAAAAATGGTCTCAGAGCTTTGTGTCTTCCCCACTTCAGGCAGTTTTTTTCCGTCTGTGCTCAAATTACCCTCATCTTTCCCCTCCCTCTGAACTCACATTGACTTAAGTAAAATATCTTTTCTTTCCCCTACATTTTGAGTCACAGAATTGACATGTCAGGATAAAGATAAGAATAATACCAGTGACACAGGTTAGGAAATAGAGAAGTACTGAATTTTAAGGTAAAATTAGTGGTCAAAGCACCAAGAACGTGGACTACACGTGTCGGACGCCCTTCTTGCCCCGGGTCCCCCTCACCGCTCCCCCTTCTCTGTCTGCCTTCACCAGCCGTCAGCCTCTCAAGTTGGTGTCTTTCCTGTTCTACTTAGTTGTGCTGTAATATTATTTTATGATGTTTTCTTCACAAAGAGACGAGTTATATTGTTTACCTTGGCATATGAAGGATTTTTTGTGAACTATCACAGCACAACGGAAGNGAGACGAGTTATATTGTTTACCTTGGCATATGAAGGATTTTTTGTGAACTATCACAGCACAACGGAAGTTTTTTAAAGCGCGGTCCGTTGGTCATTGTGAAATTCCTACACTTCTTTGCAGCTTTCCTTTTCTGGAGGCCACGGGCAGAAACCTGTATGTTTCTGTTTTGCTCTGGGGTGCGTTTCAGCCAACTTCAATTAACACTTACACCATCAGGGTTTCTCCATATGTCTCAGTGACAGATCAGCTGGTTCCTCGAAGGTTTTCAGTAGTTGTTACTCTATGTTCTGAATTTAGGGTGTGAAGTTTGCCTCTGAAGATTAGCACTCCACCCCCTCGGTGTTAGCTAAGGCCTTTCTCACACATGTTTATCACACCTGTTCTGGAACAGGAGTGTGGCCCATAACAAAAGGGGAGGGAACCAGAAGCCTTGCAGGCCAGCATGTGGCCTTAGAAGGAGACTCTGCTCCTGCAGCTCTGGGCCCAAGTAGGTGCAGACTTCCAGGTGGTGACTTCAGGCACATGGACCCTGCAGGTCCCAAGGGTAAAGCCAGTGCCCAATGTCCCCCTTCCGCTTCACAGAGCAGACAGAGGAGGCCGTTCATCGGCTTTGTTGTTTTCAGTGTTTGGGGAGACGGTGACCAGACAGAGTTACCAGAGCAGATCAGTGAGTCCTGGGTCCCAGGTGGATGCAGCTGTCACATTCCTTAAGTGAATGAGTATTTAAAACACAAATCTTACCTTAGGATCAGTGAGTTTCTCACCATTTCCTTAGACTCAACTACATGTTAAAATAATAGAACTTCATAAATTTAAATTTTGTATCATGTGATTTTTAGGAAACCTCACCTGGAATTCCATATAGGCTTTTAATTGAAAAGTGTACGCCCTGGCCCAGTAGCTCAGTTGGTTAGAACGTCTTTGCAGTGCGCCAAGGTTGGGGGTCGACCCAGGCCAGGGCACATGCAAGAATCAGGCAATAAGTGGAACAACAAATCGATGTTTCTCTCTCTCTCCCCCCCTTCCCTCTCTCTTCCTAAAATTAATAAAAAAAATTTTCATAGGAGAAAATTAGAGCACACTGAGTTAACACTAGAGACTGAATCAACTTTGGTTGGATTTTAAATCCATTTTTACCTGGTTTAGATCTAAATTTGTCAATTAGTAGATGTACAACCTTAGTCTTTAATTTTCCTTGAAACGTTGTTATTTTTTTATTTTCATGATGTAAATATCAAATTCATTCATTGACGATGAATGAAAACAAGAAAGTTGTGACTTTTTCTTCTGGGGTGATTATGGCCGTGTATCATCTGTGGTCTTCCCCTGGGTCCTTGCTTCAACATTGCATCATCGTTAAAGATTCTGAGGTATCCTTTGTGGCATCTTACGGTGTGTTATGAGCAGCAGTTGGAATAACTATCACATGGCCAAACAGGAAACACACCATTTTCCCAATAATTTAAATTGACAGAAAATCCCATAATTCTTCATACTAATGGTCCCCAACCTTTGAATGTATGGAGTTATGATAAGGGATTTAGTAATTTATATGGGCATCAACGCTGGTTGTTGAGAGAGAAAATAGTATGACTCTCAAATATTGTTTTAAATATTGTTAATTCTACTATAACTATGGTCATGAAATTTACTTTACTTGAAAGTCAAACTGGTTCATAGAGTTGTTTCATCATTTTGTGATTGCCCTGTAAATATGTAAATGCTCCGTGACTATCACAGTGGTTAAAGAGTTGTATTAATGTGCAGAAGAGGCTCCCATTCTGGAAAAGTTACTTTACCTTTTAACCTTTCATGGTGTTTACTCCTGGTTTTACAATGTGGATTTGGGCGCCTTCCTGTTTTCCTCTCAGTAGCTGGCATCATGCTGTGTCCTTACCACTTACCGGTTAATGAGCAGATACTCAAACACACTGGGGTTTGGACTGCGCTGGCATGTGGCCCGAGCCAGCTCCGGCCTTTGCCTGTTCCGTAGAATTACAGAAAACCAGTGAACAGATAACTGCTTAAAACAGGAGGCTGGAGAATAGCCATTTGTACTGTCTCTCCAACGGCACAGCCATTGACGACAATGTGTCACCTTCTCTCTTTTAGATGGGAATGTGGTGGAGCCCGACATGTCTGCGGGGTTTTGCCCAGATCACAAGGCAGCCATGGTTTTGTTCCTTGACAGGGTCTATGGAATTGAGGTTCAAGATTTCCTCCTGCATCTCCTAGAGGTTGGCTTTCTGCCAGATCTCCGGGCTGCTGCTTCTTTAGATACGGTAACCATTTAACTACCCGCTTCCTCAGCTTCTGACTTCAGCCTCTGGCTTGTGACATTTTTTCATAGATATATTTATTCATTTATTGTCACCAGATGTTTATTGAGTGCCTGTTATGTTTTTAGGCAAGCGGTGGGTAAACAAGAAATAAAATAGACTCTTTCCCCAAGGAGTTCACTGAGAGGGGAGAAGATGGCAGCCCCAGGAGTAAGATGGGGGTCCTGCTCAGGCGCAATGGGAGACACTAAGGAATTCATAAAACCCTGACGGGGGGGTCACAGTGGCTCCTGATAACCTCTAAGCCGACCTAAACAAGTATTATCAACAAAGCAGTTAAAGTGCTAAGAAGGTTTAATGGACATTGTTGAGCATGTGCGATGCCATCCTGGTGTCTCCGTTGTTGACGTACAGATAGGCTAAGATCTGTGCTGTGTGTCAGTGCCCCATGGAGACCCTGCCACCATCAGTGTCGATGTGCTGCCCTTTGAACATGTGGAGTGAGCTTAGCTCTCCATGTTGTCCAGTAGTTTTAACAGTACCTCCTTTTATTCTCAGCTAAGTGGGGCTTTTTCATTTCAGAGGGAAATCTATTTTTAGCTGACAAAAAGCTCTTTCATTAAAGCCCTGAGAGGGGAATCATAAAAATGAAACTTACGTTTTTTCCTTTGGGTGTGTTCACATGAAATTCTGAGCCTAAAAGTATGGTTGAGAACATAGTAAGAGTCAGCCCTTGGTTATTGATGCTGATGGACATGAGCAGAAATATGAACAGTACTAATAAATAGAATTCAGAAAGTGCCTGAATGTGGAATAGAGTTTGAGGAAAAATCTTTCCTCTTTCCTTCCCTAGTAAAGTACTCACATTCTTTGATATAATCAGTGTCTTCATCTTTCATTTCTCCTACTATTGATATTTTATTATAGAATGTGAACCTCTTGGTCTTAGGCTCTTTGAGGAGATATCACTTCATCTATTTTTGTTGATTTATAAGCAATTAAAAGTTGATTATTTTTAGCAGTAAAAATCATGTGAACCACATTTAAAGATATAACTGAAGGATACATTTCCAGTTTTCATTTTTTGGTCATTTTCTAGAGAGTCAACATTTTGATTCCCCAGACACAAATGGCCTGCTCTCCAATTCCTTTTCAGGCTGCTTTGAGTGCTACGGACATGGCCTTGGCCCTCAACCGGTACCTTTGCACGGCCGTGCTGCCTCTGTTAACGAGATGTGCTCCTCTTTTTGCTGGCACAGAGCACCACGCCTCCCTCATCGACTCGCTGCTTCACACCGTGTACAGGCTTTCTAAGGGCTGCTCCCTGACCAAAGCTCAGCGCGACTCCATAGAAGTCTGCTTGCTCTCTATTTGCGGGTGAGTGGGCGCTGACTCTATACGAAGTCTCTTCTTTAGGAAGGAAAGTTTATTTACTATGTGCCCTTGACAGATAGTTACGAATTTTGGAAACAATTTCTGTACCAAATAAATTAATTTCTTTTAGGTAGTCCTGTGTACTAAGGTCTGAGGCAAGCTCGGGAGTGGTCCCCCAAGCCTCCCGAGGGTATCTAGCCGTTGGATGTAGTGTTGGACCAGTTGTGCTGTTCTGGATGTCGGCAGGCGAGGTGACTGGGTGGGGAGTCCCTGGCCACTGTGCTGGAAGATTAATAGATTCTCCCCATTTGACTGTATGGTGGTTTCAACTCCTCTGCCAGAATAGAAAAGAGAGAGGTCCTTACTCTACTTAAAAAATGGCTAGTACCAATCATATCAAGGCATCACTCACGCGCAGCAGGGATGAAGGCTGCTATTCCCTCCAGCCGGAAAAAGAAGTGTTCCAGTGCCTTCCTATGAAAACCAGAAACATCCCCTCGCCCTGGAGTCTGACAGTGAAAGGGGCGATTTCCCAGGCCCTAGGAGGGGTGGAGGCTCCTTCTCACTGGACGGGAGCTCTCGGGGGCCTTGCTGCTGGCCGCGCTGCGAAGGGAAGGTTCCCACCCACCGTAGAGTGAGGGGCCTTGGAAGCCAGGTGGGACCGAGAGAGGAGAAAAATGAGGGTCCATCTCTTCCCTGATCCCCAAATTCTGTAAATGGAATCCAAACACGCATCTCACAGATCGTTCTGCGTATGAAGTGGGCGGGCACTCAGGGCTGCCTGACGTGGCCGGTGGCAGATGTCCGCCAGGTGCGGCCACCTCTCCTTCATGCTCTGGCAGAAGTGCAGCCTCAGCCCTTTCTCCCTCCCGCGCCTCACCCCCC